ACAAAATCCACAATTTATCCACATGAATATATGGATTTAGAAGAGGAAAACAAAAGAATAAGGTGTTGTGTGGCTTATTTCTTTGCTAGGTGTTGTTAGGACTTTGAGCAAGGTCTCCTCCCTTTTTCTCTTTTCTCCTGCTAGGCCCATTATTACTCTTCCTCTTTCCTCTCAAAACCTTGGTCTGTGGTGGTGTGTTTGTAGTGTGAAAAATAAGCTTGAGGGATAGTTCTATTAACAGGCAAAAAGTGGAATGTCTTTATTACTCATGGTTGGAATTGAATGGAATAGATTTGTATTTGGTTGGAATGGAAATTGATTAAGAGGTTTAAATATGGTTTTACTTATAATATAACCTTTATTTGATTGGAATGGAACTAGATTGATGAGTTGGTACTAGACAAATCTCTATGAATTAGGGTTCTTGACTTACTTTTTCTTTGAATTCATGATTTGTGCTCCGAAAGTAAAGCACAAATTACTCCAAGGGTGGCTTGCCATCATTCTCTTTGACCAAGTGAATTTTCACTTTATTTATTTATTTTTATAACAAATATATCCTTAAAAATGATATAATAATAGGATGCACAAATATGTATATGAAAGTATTAAAATTAGGGTTAAAATGCAAAAATAATGAAGTATGAGGGTATGGATTAAATTTATTAATTTAAATACTCATTTCAAATATAAAATTAATTAAAATAGAGATAGAAAATATAATAATGCTTTGAAATGAAAGGCAAATAATTAGGAGAATACGGCCAAACTGAAAACTGGGGTTTAGTTTGCAAGTAAAAGAGGAACTTAAGACTTTATTATAAAAGCTTAAAAGTTAGGGTCTTTAATAGAATTTTATAAAAGTTAGGGGTCTCACATGATTTATGACAGAGAGTATAGAGACATATATAATACAAATAAAATTCAAGCAAATTTTTTACATTGACGTAATTAATTCTTGATTTTATGAGAGAGAGTATAGAGACGTGATGATAAAAATAAGATATAATATTATACATGGAAAAAAATAAGATATAATATTGTATGGAAAAAAAAAATTGATTTTATGAGAGAGAGTGTCGGTCCAGGTCAAGCAAGTGAATTTTTCACAAACCTGGTAACCAACTGGTCAACCAGAAATTTCATAAACTTACATCTGCAACTAACTTGCTAGTGTTGCAAAACTGTCTATTTTGCCAATTTTCAGATTGGGCCGAATGGGTTTGGTCTGTCATTTATGTTTTTGAACACATTTCAATCAATAGCCACACAAGCAATTTTCTAGGGGTGAAATCGATGCGGTGCGGTCTGGTTTTAAGATATTTTTGCGCCGAACCACATGCTTCAGTTTTCCATGGATCTGCACTGAATAGACCAAATTACTAGTAAGAACCACACCAAGTGGTTTTACGTTGGGGCGATGTGGTTCGGTCGGTGTATATCAGTTCTTCGATCTTCATCAAAATCTTTGCTTGAAGGTGAAAGACCATTGGTGAACACATGAAGAAGATGAAGATAGAAGATGAAAGATGGAAGACGATAAGAGGGTTTTGAGAGAGAGAGAGAGAGATCCAACCTTTACATGAAGACGATGAAGATGGAAGATGGAAGACCCACAAAATATTTCGTAGGAAGAAGACGAAGCATATAAACCTTCCATTGATGAACACACACAAAAAGATAGAGAGAAAGAGAGAAGAGACAGAGCATTTGTTTTGGAATAATGACTTGGACCCTTTTTTTACTCACCCCTTGACCCCCTCTTCCCATGATTGGTCCCTTTTTCTTTTTCTTTTTTTCCTTTTTTTTCTTCTCCTCCAATCACCACCCGCCACGTGTGTGTAGGGTGGTGGGAGTGGTGATTGGAGGGGGTCTCAATCATCACCTTTTGTTTTGTAGAGTTGCAATCACTCTCAGAAACATCCAAGACCATGAGATTCATTCTTGAGCAGTGTGATAATTAGATAGGGGGAGAAAGTTTTTTTATTTTTTTATTTTGAGCAATGTGAAACATTGGGCAATGTAAAAGTGTGTTTGATTATTGGAATTGAGTTAGATAGATGACCTGCACGAAAAGAAAAATAAAAAATAGTCTAAAAATTTGGCTCACATCAATCAACATCTTCTCTTTACTTTTTATCTTTAAAAAAGATAGATGACTTGTCAAACCAGCCCTAAATAAGTCTATATTTTTTATCTTTTTTAGGTCACATCAATCAATATATTCTCTTTATTTTTCTACACATCTTTTCATAAAAAGTAAAAAAATACATTTATTTAGAACATCCCAAACAATCTCTATATCAATGCGGTTTGGTGATTACGGTTTTCAAATTATGATTACTGAAAACCGAACCAAATTTTGATTTTTTGTTTCAAAATAATTGAACAGACCGAAATAATAATAAAAACAAACCAAAACCGACATGTTCAGTCTAGTTCGGTCGGTTCAATCGGTTTACCAATTTTTTCTTTCACCTCTATAGTTTTCTTTTTATTCACATGTAAGCAATTTTGCAGGGCTCCCCTTATTTCTTCAAGTTATGTATCAAAACCCCCTCTTCTTTCCCATAGAAGTCTGAGATCCCTCAAGTTATTAGTAATTTTATGTTGATAAATTATATATAGAGTAGAGTTATTAAATGAATTAACCTATTCAAATTCAATTTGTTAAAAGCTCGTTTAAGATTAATTTTATTAATAAATAATTCAAGTTTGAACATTTTTTAAAAGTTTGTTAAGTTTTCAAATTAAGTTTAAACAACCAATTACTTAACTCGATAATATACATTATGAAAATCAAACCACTAAAGCTTGATATGCGTTTAACTTATTAAAACTTGTCCGAAATTGACTTTTTATGTAAATAAACTAACATCGTCAAATTCTTAAGTCAAGTTTAAACAACTTAATATTTGGCTTGACTCTGTTCGTTTATAACCCTAATTACAAGTTTAATTCTTATAGTTTGACCCAATCTTATTTTGGTGTCTATTATTCTAAATTGAACAATTTAACCTTTATAGTTTAATCATTTTGTTCAAGTTAAAAATTAAAATTAGTATGATTTTGAAACATTTATACAGAAAAATAATTAATAAAAAACTGAATGGAAAATATGAATTAAGGAGTGTTTTGAATATATGTTATTTTAATTAAAAATTAAAAAGTCATTATAAAAAGAAAAATGTTATAGATCTCAAAATTTTTACAAAATATTTGACCAAATATTTTACATGAGAATGGGTTTTAAAATCATGTTAATCTTACACCTATATAAGACATTTAATTAAATATTTAATAAATTTTTTAATGTTTACTCTTCTCGTTAAGGCCAAGTTTGGCTAACAAAAAAAGTGCACTTATTTCATCTTTTTATCTTTTTTGGGTCACATCAATCAACATCTTCTCTCTACTTTTTCTACACATAATACAAAAAAGTCAAAAAGTACACTTATTTTTGCACGTCTTTTCATTAAAATTTACAACCAATTAAAATAGTTACTCCTTAAAATAATTCTAAAATTGAGTTAAAAGTGAAATTTAAGGATTGTTTGGGAAAAATCTATTTTAGCATGCTTATTGTTTTTTCGTCTTATTTAAACTATATTATCTCTCTATTTTTTTACACATCTTTTTATAAAAAATAAAAATTTAAATAGTTTATTCAAACACAACTCTTTAGATTTTTAAAAAGATTAAAAATAGAGTCAGGCTGTGAACCCCAAATAATCTATCAATGGGACCCATACACACCCACATGAGAGGTTTAGTAGAAAATTTGATAGATTATTTAGGATTCATAGCATTTTCCTTAAAAATATAATTTACAATTTGGGTCTAGCTTCTCTCATGTTTGAGATCAAGGCTGGACCGTCTAGTCCAGCCAATGGACCCATTTTTGGATTCCGTTTTAATAATTCAAACGGCTAAATGTGTAGAACTCGTCAAATATTATATCCCTATGAAAAATCATGTTGATCGGATATTGATACTATTTGATCAAATTAGATTTGCATAAAATAAATAGATGGTGACAAAATTTGTTCCAATCAAATAACTATCGATATCCGATCAATATAATTTTTTACAAAGATATAATACTCGACGAGTTACACATATTAAACAATTATATTTATCAAAATAGAGCCTAAAAATAAACTCATAAATCAAATTAGATAGTCGAATCTTGATTCAAACATGAGACAAGTTGGACGCTTACAATTTTATTTTCCCCTAAAAACTCACTTTTTTGAAAAATTATCGATTAATCTTTACACCAAGTAATCATATCTTATACCAAATCATCTAATATAAATTCATAACTCCTGTTATTTTCACCAATCACAATACACCATACACCACAGGACCGTGCCCAACACCAGCCAATAACTTCTCCTGTTTTCGGACTTCTAAAATGTGCATTCCAGAGTGACAGAGGGAGAGAGAGAGAGAGAAAAAGGGGAGCGTGTATGAATGGCCGGAACGGCGTTAACTTATACGGCGGCGGCGACCGGAATTGATATTGCCGCAGGCTCTGCGCTGACTCCGTCGTTCGTGAACTCGTTTCGCATCGCCACCGTAGCTGAGCGCCTAGCTTTGCACGTTCGCAATCCCTCCAAAAACGATACCATGGAGTTCTTCAACCTATGCCTGTCCCTTGCCAGGTCTTCCTTCTTCAATTCCTCATATATTCATACACAAATCTCTACATTTATTCCATTTTTAAATATATATATATTTGATTAGCTTTGAACATCTTTGATGATGGGTTGAGTCTATATTTTAGGTATAGTTGTGTTGTTCAGTGGGATTGTTTATTATGAAACTAGACGGTGTGTATGAAATTGAAGGAGAAAGAAAACTGAAAAAGTTATCAATTTTTGAAATTTAAGATCAAAATCTGAAAATCTTGTGGTCCGCACACTTGTGTTTATATATATATATATATAGAGAGAGAGAGAGAGAGGGAGAGAGAGAGAGAGAGAGGACATCATTGGTAGGTGTAGGCCAAGGTCATATTTTTTTAGATGTAGATCCAATTACTGCCATCATTTATTGATTAGCTATGCATGTTCTTGTTGCGCGAGAAATCGATGCCCCTTTTTTTGCAATCGATGCCTTCACCTTGCCAGGTTCTAGATCAAACAGAGAGAGAGAGAGAGAGGACATCATTGGTAGGTGTAGGCCAAGGTCATGTTTTTTTTAGATGTAGATCCAATTACTGCCATCATTTATCGATTAGCTATGCATGTTCTTGTTGCCCGAGAAATCGATGTCCCTGTATTTTACAATTGATGCCTTCACCTTGCCAGGTTCTAGATCAAACACACAGAGAGAGAGAGAGAGGACATCATTGGTAGGTGTAGGCCAAGGTTATATTTTTTTAGATGTAGATCCAATTATTGCCATCATTTATCGATTAGCTGTGTATGTTCTTGTTGCACGAGAAATCGATGCCCCTGTTTTTTGCAATCGATGCCTTCACCTTGCCAGGTTCTAGATCAAACTTTACATTTGTATATTTTTTTTGTATAGAATCATGATTGAAGTGGTTTCTCTGTTACCCCTTATTTAGGTTTGGAATTTGAATTTAACCAAATATTTGTTAAGATGTTATGACTTGGTTAACTTATTTGATAGATTGAAAATGTGAATGATGCGTAAAAAATTTCTTGATGGAGTTGCAAATTGTTGGCATGTTAGTGAATTCAATAATAAATTTGGAATTACTTATTGGAGCATGAATGGGTCTTGATTGTGTAAGATGTTGTGGTTTTGTGTTTTTCTCAATGTTATAATTGGGAGGGATAATATTTTCGTTTCTCATTTATAGTGTGCAGATGATACAATCTTCTTCTCGTCTGGTGGTGAGGATAAATTGGTTAATTTGCTTTCTATATTGAGAATTTTTGAAATGGTTTCTTGTCTCAAGGTAAATTTGAATAAGAGTGTTGTGGAGGGAGTCAATTGCGAACATAAGAGATTGAGCCAGATTGTTAGGATTTTAGATTGTGCCATTGAATGTCTACCATTGAATTATTTTGGTCTTTCTTTAGGAAGTAATTGCAGGAGTATTAGTTTTTGAGATCCAGTAATTGAAAAGATTGGAAAAGATTAGATGGGTGGAAAATGGCCTTGATTTCTAAAAGGGGTAGATACACTTGAGTCCAATTGGTCTTATCCTATGTACCAATGAACCTACTTACTATTTATCTTTGTTCAAAATTCTGGTGGGGTTGTTGGCCAATAAAATTGAAAAGATGATGAATGATTTTTCTATGGGAAGGTTTGGACGAGGGGAAGAAAAACCATTTGATTAATTGGGAAGTGGTTTCTCTCCCCAAGTGGAAAGGGGACGATGCAGAATATAAAAAGTTAAAGGAAGGCTAAATTCAAAAAAGCGATGATATTTGGACATTAGCATGATTTCAAAGAGAAACTGATAGGAATCTCATATAATTATGTTTCTAATATTATTAAAATCTTATTTTATGATTATTTTTATGTTTTCTAGGATTTTTAGGGTAGGGGTATTTTGGTAATTTTTATATTTGCTGAAATGGGCTGTAGGAGTCACCCATAGGTTGTCTTGTGGGTGAAGTTTATTTAATTGATTTTATTTATGTTTCTTATTTGGTCTTAAATTGATTTTGAAATTCAAAGTAGTTTTAGTAGTTTCCTTTCTTTTTTTTTATTTTTATTTTAGTTAGTTTAGGATGTCTCTTAGTTTTATATAAAGCTATGTAATGCTTATAATATAATAGAGTTGATATTTTATAAAATTTTCAGAGCTTTGAAGCCTCTTTTGTGTTTGTGTGATGCAACCTTACCCTAGGTGTGATGCCTAAGGCCTCTAGGAGTGATTCTTAGAACTATCTTTTTTTTCTTTTCTTAAATTTCAGCACTTTCACAGCCCAAATACTGTTCACGAATGCTCACAGCCTAATAACAACCCCTAAAACAGTGCCACAATTCATCTCTTTATACTCAAACTCTTACCCCTTTATTACCCTAAACAAACCCTTTAAACCCCTATACGATTATCATTGCAATTTCAGCCATAAAACCAAATTAAAGTCAGCCCAAAAGCACACTGTTGCTACTGTCCTTACTCATCCTACATCAGGGGATCTTGCCTTAGGAAATATTGTTTCAAAGAATAATGCATTGTTAGGTAAATGGTTTTGGCGATAAATTTTGATATAGGTTGTGTGGGTCACCTATGAGTTGTCTTGTCTTGTAAGTCAAGTTATTAAATTAATTTAATTTTTGGTTTTATTTGGTCTTAGATAGGTTTTGAAAGACAAAAGTTTAGTAATTTTCTATTTTGAAGTCCTAGTTAGTTAAGTCAGACTCTAAAATCTATATAAAGTCATGTAATACTTTTAATTCAATAGAGTTGATATTTCATAAACTTTTTAGAGCTTTGAAGCCTCTCTTGGGTTTGTGGGATGCAACTCTAATTCTAGGTGTGATGTGTAGACTTTTTTTTCTTCTTCTTTCTTTCTTAAATTTCAGCACTTTAACAGCCAAAACATTTTCACAGTACCCAGAACAGCCCCAAAGATTAGTCTTCCTTCTTGTTACATTAAGCCTTGACCCTAATTCATTCATACACTAGTAGAAGCCCTAAATTTTCCATTACCTTTCAGCTTGAAACCACAATAAAAACCCATAGAAATTCAGCGTTGCAGTTCTCACAGTGCTGTCCTGCATCACTTTATGGCATGCAATCATTAAAAGTAAATATGGAGTTCAAGCTAATGGGTGGGATTATCATGTGGTTACTAGGTGGAATTCTTGATTAATGTGGAAATTCATTTTTCATAGTATTCATTTGTTTTCTTGGTCCATCTGATTTAAGGTAGGGAATGGGAGAGAATTTGGTTTTGAGTGCATATTCCCTCATTTGTATCGTCTTTCTTGATCCCACAATGTTTCTGGAACTTCTATGGCGTTTTCTGATGTGACTCTGACCTCTTGGAATTTTAATTTATTTCGGAATCTTAATGATTGTGACATAAATGATTTGACTTCTTTAGGGAGCCTATTTGAATCTTGATTCTGTGGATTGTAGATCATCGTTTATTAATTCATCAGCAGTGTTTTCTTTGTAAGTCTTACTTTGATATGATTATTGATGATTTTAATGTTTCTTTTTTTCCCTCTCATTTGATGATATGAAATGCATGTGTGCCCCTAAGAGTTAAAATCTACTTATGGTCTTTGGCTCATAGGAAGCTCACTGCCAATGAAATGTTTTAAAAGAGATCTAATTGCTACTTGCATCCACAATGGTGTATAATATATTAATATGTAAGGAGCTCAGAATGTATTGATCATTTATTTTTACATTGTCTTGTTGCTTTGACATTATGGTTTTTTTCATTTTTAAGATGCGTGAAGAACTAAAAACTTCATGGCTGGTTCGTTACACTCCGCAACAACATCAACGCTACTCTTACCGTTGCGGTAGCCACCACTGTTACTTAAACCTTGGGAATAGTATGATTTGTGCCTTGCTTTGGGTTATTCGGAGTGCGATAATGTTTTGATGATAAGATTGAAGATGTTGAAGATTTAAGGGAGAAGATTTGTTATCTGTCATTTGTTTGGGTCTCAATTGCATCTCTTTTCAAAGATGTGCTTTTATTTTTAATTTCTAGAGATTGGAGGGTTGTTTCTTTGTTTTTTTTTAAGTTTTTTTTATATTTTTTAAAAATTTTCTTCCTTTGGAGGACTTCTTGTCTTCCCTTAAGCATTTTGTATATTTTTCTCTTCATTTTTTTAATAAATTTTATATATTGTTGATAAAAAGTTTTCTTTAACCCCAAGGGGTTGGCCTAGTGGTAAGGCTTTGGGTCTTGGGGGTGTGCTCCCTCCAAGGTTTAGAGATCAAAACATGTTAGGTGCTAACAATTCCTTGGGGCCATCAAACTGGGGGAAAACCCTTGAATTAACCGTGGACCGTGGTGCACTTGCAGAAAACTCTTTGCTGAGGGCCTGTGCATTCCTAGGGATTAGTCCGACTTTGATTTGGACACCCCGGTGCCAATCTAAAAAAAAAAAAAAATTAAGATTGCGTTTGGTAGAGTTTTGTAAATATGATTTGAGAGTATGAGTTGTATTTTGAGTTTGTGAGTTTTGGAATTATGATTTGAGTGTGGAAAATTTGTTTGGTGAAATAGTTTTGAAAAGAGTTTTGAATTGAGTGGGGACTTTTTAATGTGACATATGATATTTGATACAAAAACTTACAACTCATAACCAAACATACAACTCAAAATTCTATTAAAGTACATAAAAAAATTTAAAAATTCGAAAAATATTTTTTTTAAATATATAAAAATTAACATATGTCAATTGCAAAAAAAAAAAAATAAAATAAAATAAAATTGCACTGTTCCGGTCAACCGGCCGGACGACCGGTTAGGCCAAATTTGAATTTTTTTTTTTGAAAATCGCACCTGAGAGAGGAGTTTTCTACAGAGTTTTCTCTTGATTGTGGAAATACAATTTGAGAGTAGGAACCAAACATGAAGTTAGAATATGTGGGTAGAATTATATTTCTAAAATCGTTCCAAACAGAGCCTAATATTTTTTTTTTTATTAAGTCCTTACTACTTGGATAAGTTACATGGAGTGTCTACTATTTATACGCTAGTGCAAGAAGAGATGAATTCCATGAAAACTTGACTTTGAGAACAACAAGGTTTTGTGTCATTTTTTGTTTTGTTTTGTTATGTTTTTACTGTAGAAGAGGCCCTTTAGTTATCTAAAACCATTTTAGAATCTCTGGGCATATTTGATTAGTGTAATTCCCCAGAGTATGGTGTGACCTGTTAAATCTTCATTTCAACACAGAAGGAATGTGCATTCTCCTATTTCCTGCTTCTTCTGGTGGTTGGGCTCATTTGTTTTAATACCTGGTTTGTCATCATTGATTGTTTTGATCTGCTTTTAGATTAGTTTCTTTTGTCGTTGTACTTGTGCCTTGTATTATCTTATTGCGAGGTGGTTGTCTCATTTTGACTAGTTCTTTGTTCTTGTACGTGTTACCTTATCCCATGTTTCTGATCCTATAGGGCCATAAATTGAACTGATTGTATTTTTTTTTTGTATTCATATTCTCTTTAGTTGACTAGATGTACTTTGACAAATGCAGAGGTATTGACTATGCCGTTACAAACAATGAGGTTCCAAGCAGAGCTCAAGATTTACCTATGTTGTTAAGACTGGTGAGCTGTGACATATGTTGTGTATACTAAATCTTGGATTCTTTTTAGCTTCTAGTTGCATCACTCTCCTATAAAAGGTTATGATTTGGCTACGGTGTTTTGTCTACATTACGTAATAAAATTATGGAAAAATAGGCTCCTTTTATTTATTTATTTTTATTTTTTTGCATTTAAATATTTGCATTATGCATCTACCCTGAAACAGCTTTCTGCCATTACTGGTGCATGTAAGCTTGTCTGATTGCAAGATTCTTATCTTAGTTTGACGGGCAAATCTATGATGAATCGTTTTATTGGTTTTGCATAACTTATGTGTTAGTATGTCCTTTTGGGTTAAAAATGTTAAATTTGTTATCTTAATTTTTTTTTTCTCCCCCCAACATAACACTGCTAACTTTGGTAATGTGATTTGCTAATGCAGTGGTAAATGTTATTAGAATCAATTGACTTCAAGTAACCTGCTGTCATGGCCCTCAAGTTGTGCCCCAAATACTTCATATTAATCTTATTTTATATCTTAGCATCCTTATTATTTTTGCCGTTTTTAGTTGGAATATTTTGATATTTGATCTTCTTGTGATTTGTTGGAGCTTGCTTAATTTTGTTTGGTTTATGCTCCCTTTCTATATTAACAAGCATGTTTGGATATATTGTATTGTTCGGGAAACATCCTGTCACCTTGAAAATAAATTTTACAGAGTTCATTTAGTTTCCTCAAAGGGTTAGGGTTTTTCTTTAAGAGATTTAATGTGTTTTCTGGCTTTTGCATATGAAATTTGTTAATTATTTGGCAAGAGGATGACCAAAAAAAAAATATATATTTTTTCTTTCTTTCTTTCTTGAAGAGTGGCACTTGAAGTATCTCATCTGTGATTCATTGTAGCAAAACTATGATAAAGAAGAGATAGGTTGCTTAAATGGATGCTTCTTGTGACTTTTTTTCTTCAGCCTTTTCCATTTCGTTAGATTTCTTTTAATTTCTTTGCTCTAATTGAGGCAAAAAAAGGAAAGGAAAAAAGAAGCTCCTCATCATGAAATGTGCCAAGAGTATATAGCAGTTGTCCGTGGCAACTGCAAAATCTAGCTGTTGTCCTGCAAACCATTGTTCCCTTCAGTTTTGGAAAAGGTCTCATTATTGGTTCAACTTTAACATCATTAGAAGTCATATCCAATGTACAAGGCTCGTTGTTAAAGAAGGGTCTGCGAGAGTAGTAGGTAAGCAACCTTCCCCACCTTTTTTTTTTTGTGGTGGAAAGGCTGATTCTTGTGACTCGAAACTGGGAACATATAGCACTAGTTATCACTCTGGGTCACAATCTGTATCAACTTTAATGTCATTAACTTAAATAAATTTTGAGTTACATCCTTTTTTTGAAAATCATGTGGTTAGAAACCTTCCACATATTATGATCTAGATATCAGTTCTAAAACGAATGGGTACCAGATAATGGGATCCGTTCCTGTTTGGATGCGGATATGGCAAGTCACTTGTCCATAGTGGGCTACTTGTGATGGGATTTAGATGTTGGCAAATGCGACTTGTTTATCCTAAGGATCTTGTCTCATTGCGTTGAATGTTCCCATTTACAAGCAAACATGTTATAACTATGCTTGGGTGGACTGTATTGATAACTCAAGTTTGTTTTGTTTCTTTTTGTGGTTACAAATTTATAAGATTGTTATCATGATAGTGGACAAATTGGTGTCAACAAGTCTAGTTGTGTTGCTTTTTGCTTTTTCTTAAAGTGAATCCTGTTTGGTGGAGGATTGTGTATTCAAATTTACAGCCATCTCTGCTACTCACTGTATAATTGAGTTTTCTGTAGGCATTGCAATTCTAGAGGAGCTCCTTCCTACCTATGCGGTAATTGCTAACAGCAGTGGGGTCTTTTTGTTAAATTCTTTCTCTGAATTTGCAGTGCAGATTGAAGTGTTAACTGAGTTAAACTTGTATGAATTTGCTTTAATGGGCGCGTATAATGAAAATAGTGCTGCATAGTTGGCATTGGGATGCTGGTTTTGGGAAATATAAGACCCTTTTTGTCTAGTTTATATGGTTGGTATTCCAGGATGGTTAATCTGCTATCAAACATGGGTACTTTGAAAATATTGCCAGACGAGTACTAGGTACTTACTCGGTAAGGGTACACATATTGGTCTGGCTGCACACGTACTAGGTACACAAAGTACATATCTGGTACTCAAAAATATTTGTTACAGCATGGGTACGGGGATGGGGGGATGGGTGCATTTCAGGTATGGAATGAGTACTGTTGTGGGTTCGTTGGGCTATTCATGTATTTGTTTTAAATATAAGGACGCTGAAATATATATTGTGTATGTTTTTATAAATTTTAAAAATGTATGGTATTTTTTTACAATTACAAAAAATAATAAGGGTTATTTTTTTAACCATTACAAATTAATTTAATTTAATTTATTTATTTATTTTTTTTTTTGCATTTGATTTTTAATTGTTATATATTATGTATTATTTACAAATTAGAAAATATATTTTCTTATGGACGTTCCCAGCTGTGCTTGTATCATACCTTTTTTTGGTTTTTTTTGGTATTGACATGCTCATACCAGCATCTATACCCGCATCCGTGCGTCCTAGTTAATCCATTGTTGGTCCTATTTTTCAATTTTGTAGAGGTTTTGGAATAGGTTCGTTTTTTATGGATAGAGGACGTAGGTCGTCCTTTGTATTCAGGTTATGCACCCCTTCCCTTGGTGCCTTTGCTTCTGTTTACAACTTATTAGACAGAAATAGCTTAAATTAGTTTAAAAAAAATGATTATGTGGAAGTTCGGGGATGGGTGCTTTTATGCTTTGTGATTATCAACTTTTATCAACTTAAGCTGCACGAAATAGGCCCTTACACCTGAGTGATTTGGAGAGAAAAGAAAAAAATTCAAATTCTCTTATTCTTAATCACTTGTTTGGATTATTAAACAGGAAAGAAATGGAGAGAAATATATCTCTCAGAAGTCACCTTTTGATTCTCTCCAAAGTTGGAGAGATTGGGAGAGAAAAGAAATGGAAAGTTCATTAATTTTGTATATTACCAAAATTGCCATCTACCTACAAAAGAAATAAAAACATGAAAGGTTATTTTGGTAAAATAACCTATATGAGTTTAATTTTCTTTTCTTTTATGTAATCTATCCAAACAAGATTGGAAGATTGGAGAGAAATCACTATCTTTTCTTTTCTTTTCAACTTAACCAAACAAGAGGGAGAGAAATCACTATCATTTCTTTTATTTTCTTTTGTCTCCTAACTTAACAAATCATTCCTTTTTCTTTTCTTTTTTTTTTCTTTTTTTTCCTCTCTCCCCTAAATATCCAAACATAGTGCTAGTTGGGGAAGAAGTTTGTCATTGTAAGAGACACATTTAAAAATGTGAAATTCCAGTAGTAGTAATGATGAAAAATATGGGTGTGTTTGGTTTGTGTTTTGAAACATATTTTTGGAAGAAAATTTCTAAAAACATGTTTGGTTACAAATTTTCTCAAAAAAATTCCAAAATTACTTCTCTCTCTATTATACATCAATCAATCACGTTTTCTCTCTCATCTCTCCTTCTCTCAATCACTTTTTCTCTCACACACATCTACTTAAGTACAACAAAATATCAAATCATCCCAAACTCCCAAATTTCAAAACTATTTTCAAAATACAAAACCAAACAAACAAAAAAAATTTCTAAACTCTCTTCTCAAATTTTTTTAAAAAAATTTATCACAAAACACAAACCAAACACACCTATACTGACTGAACCATTTTTGTTTTATCATCTCCTCCCTATCTCTCCTCTTCTCCTATGTAGTTTAATATTCAAATAAATTCAATACTTTTCTTTATTGTCACATTTTGCTTGACAAAAAGAGGCAAATAGATATGAGCATAGCTAAATATTCTTGATAGTTGTCAAAACAACTCATTGTTTCAGTCTGTTTCAATGGAAACAATGAAATTTTGGTATTTCCCACATGTTTCATTTCGGTTTCTTGGGAAATGGAAATATTTTGGCCGTTTTGATGGAAAAGAGACGAAATTTTATTACTCTTCTCTAGTATTGCTACTAGGCATAAATAACTTTTTGTGGAATGACAAATCTAGGTTGCAAGTTCTGAAGTTCATTTGACCAGAAAGTTCTGTTCTTCACTTTGCATTGGTAGCTAGCTATGAAGCATAGGCACGGACACGAGACACGGATACAACACGACATGTACATGTTGACTCTTCAAATTCGAAAAAGGGCACGGATAGGATTAATTTTTTATTTTTTATTTTTATAGTTATATATGTGCATAATCTATACAAAATCAAATTACTTTATACTAATCTATACATTTTTGGACACTAAATAACATGGTCACGTAACAAAGTACATTTCTTGCCCAAGTTGTCCTCCTCCTCTTCTCTATTTTTACTTTTTTACTATTGTGTCAAACACCTGCGGTGCATAGGATGTCTAAATTAATGACATCTGAACACCATGGAAATGGCGTTTGGATAAGTTAGGGATGGATTATTCACTTATTAAACAAAGTAAAACTTACTTGATACTTGGTTCGATCAACTAGGCATATAGTTATTAGCCACTAATGATGGTGGGACATTTGAAAAACTGTAGCAAACATATATAATTGTAATATTTCCCTCATCCTCCTAAGTCCTCTGCTAGAATTTATGTATCTTTTTCAATTTTTATTCAAGTCTTTGTGAAACTTTTATAGAATTATTCTTCATAATTATACATTTTTAAGAGTATAAGGGTTGTTTTGGGAACTAGCTATTTTAGTTTACTTTTTGATTTTTTATGAAAACACGTGCAGAAAAGTAGAGAGAAGAGGTGACTTTTAGGTAGGGACTTTTTGACTATTTTAGGCGGTTCCCAAACTTAGCCTAAGATATTTATGTCAAATTCTCAAGCTTTGAAAATCATTTGTTTAGCAAATGTGCCTGTTTGGTAACGATTTCATTTTCAGTTTTCACTTTATATTTACAAAAATTTTAAAAACTGTCATAAAAACTTGTTTGATAATTTTTTTGGTTTATAAATAGTTGTCTCAGTTTGTAAATTTGAGAAAAAAGTGTAAACTCAAAAAATGAGTTTACGTTGATTTTTGAACAGAAATTTAAAAATATGACTAACAATTTTTTTTTTCAATTATTAGTTTTTTCAAATAATTTTTTCAATTACAATGTGTATGATCCCATTGTCATAAATAATAAAAAAATAAATATAAATATTTTAGGCCTAAACGAACATATTTTTTAGTTTATATTTTTAAAATTTTCAAACATTTTGTTCAAACCAAACGCGTTTGTAGTTTATGTTTTTCTAAAAATAAACAAAAATCAGTTTACAAAATTTTTGTAAACATAAACTAAAAATGTAAACGTTACCAAATGCTGTTGGTCTTGTGTTTATATTTTAGTGATAGACATGGCTAAGAAGTAACAGAACGTCGCAAAATGAGTGTTGGACACATGTCCAATATTATGATTTTTATTTTTTAATTATGGACAAAAAATAGTATTGGACATGTGCCCGACACTGTCCGAGGAGTGTTGGGATCCGACACGGACACGTCACCTTCGTAGAAGTGTCCATGCCTTTTAGTTCGCTAGATGGATGAATTTCTAAGGAAGAAGTTATGGGCACAAACTATTGACTTAGCTCTTACACATCTTCTTAGCTGTCATGGTACCCCCATCAGTTTGTGTTAGGACAGGGGAATCACTGAAATATTTTCTGATCCTTGTATTTTCCTTTTGGCCATTTGTTGATACATAGAGGGGAAAGCCAATGTGGTGAACATGATTGTGTGCACACTTTTCCCCTTCTTTGATTGCAACCCTTATTATTGTTTACTTTTTGTTAATCTTCGAAATGCTTATTTACTCTTTGAGCATATTTATTTGTACCCCAAGTTACTAGGATTGCAATACATGAATTTCTTTCCTTTAATCAGCTGTATTTTGGTTGATCTTTTGTAAATCATTTTAATAATTTTATCCACATAGCCTTGATGCACATTCTACATTTTTCACCTCCTTTTTTTTTTGGGCACCCTTAAAACTTGAAGCTACTTACTTCTTCTTAGCCACATTTAAGTCATAGTTGCACATGACCACTCTATGTTAGACAGTTTCCCTTGTCTTCAATGTGTGGCATCTTAAACTTATGAATGCACTCATTTTCTGTTATTTTCTTAATTTTTACCCGTTCATCTTAACATCCTGATTTTGATGGAAGCCATTTGTTGAGTCTGATGTTTCATAACTGCCAACATTGGTACGATAGAGCATACCTGGCATTGTAATGGTCTTGAAAATCTCTCTTTTACAATCACAAAGTGATCCAGCAGCAGCAGTGTTCCTTTTTGTCCCTATTGGTGTAATCTACCTGCAGTGTTATCAGTTTTCTTGTTCTTCTAGATAGTGCATTCAGTGTTGTACGAGTTGTTGCTTTTGGTTATCTGTGTCTTCAATTTTCACTCCATTGCTTTGTAGATTTCTGTTGCTACAGTGTATTGTCTCTCTGCAAAAGTGCTTTGGGCCCTGCATTCCTTTTTATGCATTATATGCCATCTATTCTCGAATGAGGACTCCTTTTCTTAATACATAGTTCTATACTTCTGTCTGAAATGTTCATACCTCTGTTATTATGTATTCTGTGCATTACTTCATAGGATTTTGTTCACAATCTAGATCAATATGTTCACTTTTTAATGGAGATGTTATCTGGAGCTCCCAATCATTATACCGCAATATGGTTTGCAGGTATGTCAACGCAAAAATGATTCCTTACTACAGGCAGCTATTATGGTGCTGATGATATCTGTGAAGGTATTTGCAGTGTACTGCCTTTTCCCATCACCGTTGTTTCCAATGAAGTGAATTTATCTACTGCTTGTAAATATTATTTTTAAAATTGTTGTTTGATGGTTCATGCTTTTGCTTTTGTTTTTTATGCCACGGTGATGTCAGTTTGGTTGCAGGTTAATTTGCTGGCAAGAATTATGCTGCTTCCGTTCTTTTTTTAGACATACTAGTTATTGGGCAAGTGTGACGCATTACTTAAAAAATGGAGAAATAACTATGAAAAACCAACGCGGACATGTTTGTGCATAGATGGGGTGAATATGCAACTCTTAAAACTAATTAAAGAAAAAAATTACCAAGACATGAATTAATCAATTCAATTTTTCAACCCATTATATCAATCATGCATATTCCATTCGCACAAAATTGCAGTAATACATTAATTAAACGAGTACCCACTAGACTAAAGGGAAAGTTCTATAGAACGGCTATTAGACCAACAATGTTGTATGGGACGGAATGTTGGGCAACTAAGAAACAACATGTAGATAAGATGAGTGTTGTTGAGATGAGGATGCTAAGGTGAATATATGGTAATATTAGAAAAGACAGAATTAGGAATGAGTATATTCTAGAATGGGTAGGAGTAGTACTGATAGAAGATAAGTTGAGTGAGAAGAGATTGAAATGGTTTGGTCATATACAATGGAGACCAACAGAGGTAGTAGTGAAGAGATGCAATACAGTGACGGTAGATGGAAGTGTTAGGGGAAGGGCATACCTAGATTGAAGTGGGTTAGTGCAGTAAATAGAGATATGAATCTCCTTAATTTGACTAACGATATGGCCTTGGATAGAGTCGAATGGAGAAGAAGGATTCATGTAGCCGACTCCATTTGATGGGATTTAAGGCTTAGGTTTGGTTTGATTTAAGAGACACAACGATATATGTGGAAAAGTCTTGGGAACATATGCTGTGTATGCCCACTATTTTAGCAAAACAATTCATGATTCCATTTGCAATTTGACAACAATGCTTGGGAACAACAATCCCCATGGGTTGAAAAATCACATGCACTCCTACTGTTAAATCTACTAGCTCAAGAGTTTAATACAAGTAGACGATCTACAATCCAAGTGTAGATGTGTTGGCCATGACATCTGCACCTCCAAGCCCGTAAGCTTGAACTCCATTCGCAAACGGCACTAACTTTGTTGTCAGCCTCTGTTATCTAGAATATCCTTCGCAACACAAATAGCAATTGGCTAGATGACTTGAATAATCAATGGCCTGTGAGTTATTAAAGTGCATGTAATTTTTATCAAAACACTCAGAGAAGGTTTGCAGAAATTAAAGTTCATCGAACCAAGATTTTTCTATGAAGATACGTAGGCAATGTCTCATAGGTATCAAGGGCTTGAAGTAGGTTAGGGCTCTTAGAAGGTTAGGGCTAGAATATTAATGTCTTCGTGTTTAGCTGACCAAGAAGCTAATGGGAATGGGTTTTCCATTACTCTAAAAGGAGGAGTAGAAGCCTGAGTGTGTCTGACTAACAAGCAAAGTAGGAATGGGTTTTTGCACTACACTAGGAGGAGGAGGAGATGAAGAAGTTTTGACATGTGCCTTCGACAAAACAGGCTTAGGTTTACTAGTTGTAGCCTTATTCTTCTCAAAATGTAGACCTTGTGTCAGATACGGACACGCGTTAGACATGTGGTGGACATGTGTTGTCGGACACTTTACCTAACGTGTTCTCTTTTTTTTGTTTCATAGGGTTTGATCATTTTCTTTTTTTTTTTTTTTTTTTTGCAGTCAGACACTCTTGGACACTTTATGGACACGTTGGAGACAGAAACCATACCCTATTGCAGAACCCCTACACCATGGGACACGTCATGGACACGTTGGATTCTGGCAAGTCTAGCAACTTGCTAGACTCTGATGTGAGCTTGACATTAGGATCCATATGAGTAAAAGCATGTTTACATCCTAACATACCAGTAGGTCAAGAGTGTACTTTCTCTGAGACAAAGAAATTCCTTGCCGTAAGCGAGCTACCTCAATCCCAAGAAAATACTTGACTCTCCAAATCCTTAATATCAAAGGTGTATCTCAAATCCCTTTTTACTTGATCAATGCCAACAAAATCATCACCTGTGAGAATAATATCATCCACATAAATCAACAAGACTATACACTAACTGGCTGAATTACGACGGATGAAGCAAGTATGGTCTGAGTGGCACTGAACAAACCCCATGGAGATGATGACAGAACTGAAACGACCAAACCAAACTCGTGGAAACTGTTTCAATCTAGGAAGCATAGATACGGATACGAAATATGGATACAACACGATACGGATACGGCGATACGACAAAACCTAAAAAAATAGGATACCGGTGCGGTTAAAATAAGTTTGTGAAAAATATTTTTTTTTAAATTATTAATAGTAAGTTACGCATAATCACAATGTAATTTTATAATGCAAAATATTAACCTTTAAGAATTATGTATTAATTTAAGCTAGTAGCTTGTTTACTTTTTAAATTTTTAATAGGTCTTGCAAATATTTTATTTCAATATCAAGTTTGATATGTTTATATTACAATAATAGAACAATTCACAACTTGTCACTATGCGTTTTCCTTTTACACTAGTGAAAAATATTATATTCAAGTTTACTTGCTTATTTATTTATTGATATTTAATTTTACGATTGCTATATTCTCTTTTTAATTCTTACTTTTTATGTAGTTATAGGGGACATGCATGAAATAATTAGGATACATCAATTTGACAAATTCTATTATTTAACTCACTATGCTCTTTTTGTCAAAAAACTTAACAAAGTATTAGGAAAATATTCTTATATTTACCCTTACAATTATATTATATTATATTACTATGCAAGAAATGCTATAATTCTAATTTCATAAAACAAGTAAACATGATTTGGAGTATTCGATACTTCAAAATTAAGTATCCGATACTCCCAAATTAATGAAAAAATAATTAAGAAGTATATGATACTTTTAATAAGTATCCGATACATATTCGTGAGTATCTAAGGAGTATTGGTATCCAATACGAATACGATACATATACGTCACCTTATTTGAAATATCCGTGCTTCATAGGTTTCAAGTGATATAAAGACTTGCGCAATCGACACACTTTCCCCGAATACTCCCCCTTAGCCCGAAAACTAGGAGGAGGTGTCATATAAATCATCTCAAGAAGATCCCTATGAAGAAAGACATTCTTGACATCAAGCTGATGAAGAGGCTAATAATGGGATGCTGCAAGAGAGATGAGAAGATGAACCGAGGTAAGCTTGGCAACAAGTGCAAAAATGACTCCAAAATTCTTGCTAGGAACTTGGGTGAAGCCCTTGGCCACCAAGCAGGCTTTGTAACGGTCAATGGAGCCATCGACTAGATACTTAATAGTGAATACCCATTTGCAACCCACAGTACTCTCGCCAAAAGGTAAAGGAACCAGACCCCAAGTATGATTTTGTTCTAAAGTTGTTATCTTAGCCTGCATAGCCTCCACCTGTTTTGGATTCTAAAGGGCCTCTAACACAAAATGAGGAATGGCCTCTGATTCAAGCTTGCTAAGAAAAGAGCAATAGATAGGGGAGACGCTATCATATGAAAGATACTGGAAAATGGGATGATTAGTACTACTCAAATAACTCCTACGATTTGGAGGATGTCGATCCTGAGGGGGATTATGACGAGGAGGTGGAGGGGATATATGTAAAGGAGAAGAAGTACTTGACCTAAAGACCGAAGAGGTGGCAGGGGGGAACTGAGAGCGAGGGCGACGAGAGTATACTTGCAATTGGGGGAGGGGCGTGAGGAGGGGGGACAACCTCATCCGTAACCTCGTCCAAAATAGGAATAGGGAAGCCTACAAAGGAGGGTTAGTACCAAAAAATAGGGGATCCTCACAAATTTGTAACATCCAAAGTGTGGTGGAAGTGACGAAATACAGGATCAAAACACCTTTATCCTTTTGACATAGAAGAATACCCCAAAAAGACACAACGAATAGACGTTCATCTAACTTTGTATGAGCGAGACTCCGATCCTGAACAAAACAAGTACACCCACAAACACGGGGTAGGAGAAGAAATAGAGTAGTGTGGGGCATAAGAATATGAAACGGGATAAGACCCTGCAACACACAAATAGGGGTCCTATTAATAAGATAGACAGCGGTGAGGACAACCATATGCCAATAGGACTTAGGGACACTCATACCACGAAGGAGACACCTCATAACAGACATAATATGACGGTTTTTACATTCAACAACACTATTTTGCTCAGGAGTCCGTGGACACGTAAGTTGTTGAAGAATACCAATCTGATTAAGATGAAAACGAAAAGCATTGGAAGTATATTCTCCACCATTATCAGAATGGATATTCCTAACAATTGTACAAAATTGAGTCTTAATCATTTGCAAAAACTGAACAAAAATAGGAAACATATTAGACTTGCGACGGAGCAAATATATCCAAGTGCATCTAATGTGGTCATCAATAAAAGTGACATAATATCTATGGCCAGAAAAAGCAGGAATAAGAGATGACTCCAAATATTGGAATGTATAAGGTCAAAAGCACTAGGAGCACGAGTCATATGAGGTATGTAACCGGTACGAGTATGTTTAGTTAATTCGCAAGCCACACAATGAAACTTAAAATCTTTGCAAGCTTTATTTAATAAAGGAAAAAGTTGACATAAGTATTGAAAACTGACATGACTCATATGCGCATATCACAATTCTAAAGCTTAAACATTAAAAACACAAGATGTAGAAGTAGGCAAAACAGACGCTTGAAAACTAGTTGAAGTAGAAGGAGGTTGGTCCGATGGATCCCCAAAGTAGTAAAGTCAATCGCACTCATATCCTATGTTACATGGACTCGGGTATGAGTGTCGGGTGCGGGTGTGTATCCAAGCGTCAGACCTTCATAAATTTAAATCTTAGGATCTTGGGGTATGTATCCAAAATTGGATATGGATACGGGGACACGTCATATGCATATATATATTGCATATTATATAATATTCTCGGATGAGATGATTTAAATTATGTAGAAATATATTAGAAATTAAATATGATTTAGAAAAAAATATGAAATTTCTATATCTAATTCACGTGGGAGCCTAAAAATATTGTTTTACTAACAAATGCAAGTTTCTTTTTTCTTCATGTATTGTTACAAATTAAAGGATCTGAGTGTCTAAATTGGGTGCGAGCGTCGGACACATATCTCACACCCTTATCCATGTCATATCCGGTGGACACGGGTATTGTGGGGGAAATAGAAGAGTCTATGTAACACAGCTCATATCCCCTGCCAAAAATTCTCTTCGAACTCAGGTCCTGTAACAGACATGAAGAAGGTAAGAAAATAATAGCACAATTGAAGGACTTGGCAAGCCGACTAACGGATAGTAGGTTATATACGAAATTAGGATTATACAAAACAGAGGATAGAGTAATATCAGGAGATAAAGACACTTGACCCTTATAATGAACTGAGGATAAAGACCCATCAGCAAGACGAACAGATTGGTCTATTGTAGTAGGACTGGAGATGAAAGAAGGGAAAACTCACCCGTCATATGATCATTAGTCCCAGAATTCAAAACCCATGAGTAAACAGCAAACCGAACATGAAAAGAAGTAGAAGTACTTGTAATGAGAGTAGCATTAGTGGAGGATGATGGGCCAGAAGAACTAGTGGTCAAAGTCCCAAGCGGAGTCTGAAACTGGCCAATCTGAGTCTGTAACTGCTGTAAAAGAGGAATACTCGGAGACCTAGAAGCATGAGAGGCTTCCACTAAAGCAGTAGTGTGAGGTGTGCTAGAACCACGAGGGCGAGAAGATCGTTGCCTTAACTCAGGATGAAATTTGAAGTAGCGACCCTTGATATGACTAGGAGCCCCACAATGATGACAGGTAACTGAACTAGTAGAACCCTGAGAACCAGAGTTTGCGGCAAGGGCCATCTGGTTATATAAGACAAGAGTCACTGGAGTAGTGGTGGACTGAACCAAATGTCGACGATGCTCATCACTATCAATGGTGGCGAAGGCCTCATAGAGGGATGGCATGGGTGATGTGTATAAAATCTGAGTTCGAAGAGATTCAAATTTAGAGTTTAAACCGCAGAAACCAGGAAGTGTGCTGGCGGACAAGGCGGCTGGACACAAGAGCGACGGAGTCTACTGGTAACTCAGTTGAGGGTTCATATTGAGCCAATGCCTCCTAACAGGTCTGAAGGTATCCAAAGAACTCTGACACAGAGAGACCTAAAGCAGACTGGGAGGCACTAACAATGTCCTGATAGAGCCCAAAGATGTGAGCATCATTATGAGCATGGACATACATCTGAGACAAACAACGCCAAAGATTCAAAATCGTGTCGCAATAAAAACACGTGGTAAATATGGTCCTCCTTGGAGTTGAACATCCATCCTAGAATAGTGCAATTATTTATATCCTACTGGGCACGTGTAGGATCAGTCGCTGCAGGTTGAATAGAAGATGAGAGCCAATGGGCCTTTTCCATTCCCCCTAAATAAAGTTTAAGGGAGTGGCCTTAAGCAGCAAAACTTTTCCCATTCAACACCACACTCGTAATGCGATGAACAGGAGTGTAATGAGAAAGAGAAAAATCATAAGTCACTGGAACAGGTTTGGTGGGCATTTCGAATGCAACAAGAAGGGATGAGTTAGTCAGGGTGGATTAATAAGGGCTGGAAAACACAAAATCATAGCAACACAATCCAGAAAAATACGAGAAATCGGAAAAAACTCAACGGCTTCCAAATAAATGCTATTGAATAAATCTGATAGTCCACTAAATAAAAAAAAGGCCAAAGAAGTGCTTAACACATCAGCACCACACCTTAGAAAGGGAAAAATAGGGACTGAATTGCCCTAGAAGAGCTGCCGAAACATCTATGGCCAGAAAACACCCTGGTCGGCAGCCAACAAGACCTTCGGCAGCACTAGGGGACAGCTTGCCGAGGGGTGTAGAGGGATGGATAGGTGGTTTCGAGGGGTCTAGGTTGGCTAGGTGGGGCTGTCGGGTGAAGTAGAGGGTTGGAAGGGGACTGTCGGCACTCAAGGAGGAAGGAAGAAGATGAAACAATGGTTGGGCAATGCAACAGAGGTGTCGAGTGGCTGGGCAAAGGACTAGGGTTTTTGCACTTTGGCTCTGATACCAAAAAGGATGAAAAGAATGATTTGGCTTACCAATGAATAAGGTAGAGGCCATGTATATATAATGGATTCATGATATAATTTAGGAAATGATATAAACAAGGCACTAAATCGGTGATTGACACAATCACAAATTATATACATAATACTAAAAATAAAAAGATTCTGTATACTCTAATTCCTATATTCAATAGTAACCTTAAGAATGTCCCAAGCTTCATGAGCAATTTAACAATTAGAGTTCCTTCTAAACTCACAACGTGTGATGGCACAAAAGTTGCATTCAATTCCTTCCAATTAGAATTATTAATGTTAGTTTTATCCCGTTCAGTAGCAGTTTTTGGTTTTTGTTCACCACTAAGGTTTGACACTATTGGTCTTTATCCATTTTCAACAGATAACCAAACATGAGCATTAATAGACTTCAATAAGGGGCTCTTATGTGAACTTTCCAACAAATATAAAGTCACCTTCTCTAGGCATATCTGTCTCCATAAACATGGTTAGCAGGATCTATTCAGGTTTTACACCAAACAGGCCAAGAAGCCCTGTTACCAAATGAGAAGGCTGAGGCAGGTACGTTTGTGCTGAACTCGGCTTGTGAACTAAGTGCTAATTGAAAATTTCAAACCGTGGATTAATCAATTCAATTATTTTTCTTGAAACCTAGCAGATTTCCCCCACACAAAATCACAGTAATAAATAAATCAAGAATAAGAGACACAATGATTGATGTGGAAAACTCATGGGAATAATAATCCATCCCATGGGGTGAACAATCAGAATGATTTCTGCCCTTCAAAATCCACTAGATCAAGAATTTAATATAAAGATCCAAAGTAACAACTTATGACCCAACTCTGAATGCGTTAGCCTTGCCATCTTCACCTTCAAGCTTGCTAGCTCAAACCCCACTGGCAAGTTGCAAGTGACTCTGACTTCGCTGGTAGTCTTCTTTTGTCTAGATCTCCACTAGTGGCTCCATCTTAATTGGTCATATGGTAGGAATAACCAATGCGCAATGAGTGATGAAGTGTATATGTGGTTTTTTATCAAAACAGTTAAGAAGATTTCACAAATCAATGTCCATCAACACAATATTCTTCTCAAAAAATATGCAGGCAAAGCCTTCTTTCTACGGATTCAAGGGCTCTAGGGAGGCTAGGGCTAAATTATAAATCTGTGTGTTTTTTGTGTGTATCAAATTGAAAAGCAAATAAATACCCTATTTATATTTTCCAGACCAGGTCGTGTAATGATTTTGAAATTTTATGGCCCACTCAAGTGTACTTTGGGTGAAGCTCTCAGGATCTCTCTCTGCATTGTTGAATCGTCGCCTGCCTTGCTCGAGCATGCATTGCCCAAACAATAAGTGTTTTCTTTAGTGGCATTTGATATATAGAGAAGAAAAGGGCTTTAAATTTAGTGTTTTTTTTTTCCTCCCTTTGAAGATTATGAATTAATTAGTTGTTAATTATATACAATAAATTAGGACATGTTTTGGATGCTGATCATGGCAACATCTCCTGTTCAATGCCACTATTGATGCTTAGGGGCAGGTCTGAAGTCCGAACTTGTCATGCTATGTATAGCATGCACGGAGACCTCTCCTCAATTTTTTGTTTTTATTTATCTATCTATTTATTTAACTTGAAAGTTTTGATATCCTGATTTCATTAGTTTGTGCATGTGTTTTATTGAGTTTATGCCCTTTAAATCTCTCTTTCATTCTATATCTCTAACAATGCCCATAGTTTCGTACTTACCTAGTCTTTTATTTGGCAGAATGCTTGTAAGAATGGATGGTTTGCCGACAAGGATTCCGAAGAACTTCTTAGTCTTGCAGATGAGGTTTTGCAGTCTACTGAGTCTGCTTGACTTTTTTGTGCAATTCTTTTCCTACTTATATCTTATAAGTTTTCTTTCTGCATATTTAGATAGGGAGCAGCTTCTGCAGTGTAAGAGATATGAACACTGAAGCGAACAATTATCTCCAAACTATCTCAACAATTATGTCAAGGTAGAAACTTTTTTGTCCTCTGCCTCCCATCCCCTTCCTCTTTGGGTGTAAGTTATATTCTGTTGTACATATATCTTTTACTAATATGAGATTAATAGAATACTAATTTTCTTTTAGTTCAATTTTTCCATGCAATACTGTGTGTATCATAGTGGTTACTGAAATTACATGTTTTATTACAGTCTACCTACATTGATGGTTGGAAAAGTCTCTCATTGGCTTGGTTGTTTCAATCAGACATTTCTTCTTAATCTTCCTAGTTTTTTAAAAGCCAATTATAGGCGGAGTCTTGCTCAAGGCTGTATATGTACCAAAGTTGACTGCTATTATAGGGGATCAATTATCTTTCTTTGGTTATTTTTATCCATTGTATGTGAGCTAGGTCGGTGGAAGACAAGATGTATGCTGCATCTCCTGACTAGTTCACCTTTTTCTAGTTGCAAGGATGCAATATTTAACCATGTCATGTTCATGAAATATGAATATTTGTCTTCCAATGTTCCAAACACCAGCATGATAGGCCTAGTAATGTGAATCTCTTATTCCACTTCACCCCTTTTGGACCAGGGGTGCAACCTGTGTGATGGCAGGCCTCTTTTTCCCCCAAAATTGATGAGAAAAATTTGTAGTTGAGGCCATATTATTGGAAAGGCCAAGGGTATTGTGCAGACATACAAAATCATATACCTACCCAATCTAAAAAAACCAAGCTTCTGACCTGCATAGCCTATTTATGTCGATATAAGCAAACTTAGTGTTCAATGACACTCGTCTTGTTTGAGTTCTGTGTCTCTTCTATAATATATTATTTTCCATAGTGGTCAAAAGTTGACCAATTGTCAGATCGAGTTTCTGTATTATGTTGTTATGCATTGTACAGAGACCAACTTATGTGAACTAAGGGAGGGGATAAATTTGTTGCATTTTATTTTATTTTTTTACTTTTTACAAATAACATTTTATGATAGCCTTTGTTAGTGAGTGAGCAATTATTATGTTTATTTTGGCATTTTTCTTGGTCAGTTTGGTGACTGTTTATCAGGCAGTGTGATTAAAATGGTTCGAAAGCACGGACACTTCTAAGAAGGTGACGTATCCGTGTCATGTCCGTGTCGGACACCGACAGTCTTTGGACACTCTTAGGACACGTGTCCGACACCCTTCAAAACGTGTTCTATTTTTAATTTTTTTTTTAAAAATTCAGACACTCTTTGGACACTCGGATGACACAAGTGTAAATCGCTTAAACACACATGTCTATCCATTAAACACATGTGAAACTAATTATAAATTTGAACAAAACAACTTAAGATACAATTATAAAACAAAACCCATATAAATTTATAGGAATTAGTGTCATATTGCATTTTTTATTATCTTTGAATGATATATTTATGTATATAATATATAATAAATATATCAAATTATATATTTCATGCGTGTCCCCCATGTGTCGTGTCCTGCATTTTTTGAAAATTAATGTGTCGGCGTGTCCGTGTCGTATCCGTATCGTGTCACGTGTCCGTGCATCTTAGGTTCGAAGTGATCGAGTTTACAACTAGGCGTCTAATTAAACCTGGTTTTGTAGCTTATTGAGTTTTCTTTTACACAATATGCTTTACGAATATTTCCACATGGACAGATGTTAAATCGTTGGCCAATGATTAATTACATTCATTACTGAATTATATGCTTAGAATTGTCTCTCTGCGTGCAGATTCTATCCAAGAATGAAAATGGGCCAGATACTTGCTTTTCTTGAAGTTAAGGTTGTTTTTCCTTTTCCTCTCATACCTAATTATTCATTTACTTTGAAGAACAGAACTTGGTATTAATTCTGTTCTATATTGTAGCCTGGCTATGGGACATTTGCATATGATTTCCATATTTTGAAGAATGCAAAACCTTCTGCAGAAGATAAAGTAGTAAGTATTGTTTAAACCATTTTGGATAACATAACACAAATAAAGTTCTATATGCTCAGGCAAAGTCTTTGTGATTTATGAGATATATTTGATTTCAGTGGAAATGTTTTACCAAGGTTCCTATATTTATAATCCTCTTTGCTCGACCTAATTTAATTGGGAAACATTCTGCTATGTGACAAACCCACCAAACTTGTGTTGCTGAAATGCATGCTACTACTTTCTTGAAATTATTTAAAATAAGGACATCATGTAGCTGTCGTCCCATATATCTGAGGTATTGGAAGGGCTGAGGGTTATAATGGATGTGGAACTAGCTTAAATCATGTGAAATGGCTGACATGCTTGACAGTTTGAACTTTTACTTCTGCACCAAACAGTGGCTCTAACTTTCAAGAAGTTATAAATATTCTCTTCTTAAGCTACTTCTTAATTAATATTATGTACCTTTCCTTGAAAGTCCACTCCATTTAACTTTTAGGATCACTTTCCTGCTTTCCTTCCACACCACTTTTTATTGCCTAGCTTAATTTATGGGACCATTTTTGTTAAACATAATTATCCAAGTTCAGTTTTCTTTTTCACCTGATTTGTAGCTTTTCTTCGTACTCGATGTATTAATGTAATTAATTTAATATATATGTCATAAGTCTTGCTTATGTTCCAAGAAGCAATCTGTAGATTGGAGCAATATTTGTTTTTTTACAAGCAATCAGGGCTATCAATAATTTTCTCAGTTTTTGTTTATTTATTTATTTTTCCTATGGCATTGTCATGACACTGTTGTGCAAATAATTGGTATGATCAGATGGATTGAGACCATAATACCTGTCCATTGTGGGTGGTAAGGGGATCAGTAGGCTGTGGAGCCCTCTGGGAAGTGACAGGGATATATCAGTGTTTTCTGATTCAATTTTTTTGATTCCTCATCTTGTTATTTTTCCTATCTATTAAATGGTAAAAAATATTTATTGAAAGCACTCAGTGGGTTGCTTGCTTAGTTAGTTTGCCTTTGTTTTTCCTGCAGCGGTTATTTGTGGCTCAAACAGATAATATTGAGACATCTTCATGTATCACAACACCCCCACAAGTGAAGTATGACCTTTTTTCTCCCTTGTTTTTGGCTAAGTTGAATTATTACATTTTCATTCTGACCAGCTTTTTGTTGTTTAACTTCTGTAGCTTTCTGTTAAATGGAAAAGGAGTGGATAAAAGGACTAATGTGTTCATGGTTTGTGCTTGTTTAGTTTTGGGGAAGTTATTTTATGTGACAACATTATGCACAATGAATGCAAATTGTAACAAACATTTTGTGTTTTCCCCCACCCCCATTAGGACACTGGTCCACAGCTTCCAACTGTCGTGATGCATATGCTTAAATATGGAACAAATCTTCTTCAAGTTGTGGGTCAGTTTAGTGGTATGCTTGAACATAGGTTTTCTCTTACTTTCTTGTTTTTGTTGCTTGCAATTCATCTGCCCTCTGACCCAGTCTATTGTCTTTGTAAAGGAAACTATATCATAGTGGTTGCCTATATGGTCGTGATTTCAAACCTTGATCGTCCTGTCCTACAAGATTGTGTTCAGCCTGCTGTTGCTGCACTGGATTCAGGTATGCTCATGGAAAGGAATGAGACAAAAAAATAAATTATGCCAAGTGATTTTGTTTTGGTTTTTTGATGATTATATATCTTTGTGATGCGTTGAATAACTATTGTTTTTTTCTCTCTTTGTCATATTAGATTCTGAGATTATTGAAGGGCCATCACGAATTTCACTAAATTGTCCAATAAGGTATGCCATTATATGTGTTGCCGACAAACTTTGCTGTTCATTTATCTTCTGAGGTTGACTGTAAATTGCTCCTTACTTCCCCTCCCTAGTTGTATTAATCTTACATGCAGTTTTTTGTAACGCCACTTTAGCATATTGCTATGTCATTATTAAGTTCAGGTCATGTGCGGATGACACCCTTGTCATCTCGAAATTACCACATAACTCCTATGTGGTTTATGGACTAAAATGCACTGTTAGAGTTTCTGTCTAAATTAACCGGAGGTGTACTTCACACACCTCTGTTGTGACTGAACCATGTTTTTGAAACTGAAATACCCTCATAAACCTTCAAAATTACAAACTACCATCATCTTGTTCCTCCTACCTCCTTTACCTGTAACCCAGCTTCCCCCATTTTCACTACACCATACAAACTCACGGCAACCACCATTCCCACCTCCAACATTCTTCAGGCATCATGCCGCTCAAACTCATAACAACCAACACAACATCCTCTACAACTAACCCTTTCAATCTCACCCAAAAATACACACACGCGCGCACATATTATGCATAACACATACACATACTTTGTCCAACACACTCTTACAACCAACAATGGCCACTGATCCAGCACACCCACAATGCCATGACTCAGCACACCTACATTACTCATCAAATTGAAGCACTTCATGATGGTAGTTAACTTGTTTACCACCCCGATCTTTCTTTCCCTTGGGGTCATTGGTCTCAATTTGGTGAAGATATTTATAAGCACATTTATATTGTATGATAGTAGCAACATAATAGCAATAGTTGCAATAACATGCCGTGGATGAGCAGGACTTGTTTTCATTTTCATTTATTTTTTTTTAATCTTTGTTACAAGCGAGGTGGATGGGGAATGGCGATCGGAAGCTGTTGGGGGAGGTGAAAAGAGGCAGGGAGAGGTGGCAGGGTGGTTAGTGGTTTCTGGTAGAGTGTGGTTGGTGGACTTTCCGTGGAGAAGATGAAGAGGAAGTGCAGTGTATATATGTGTGGGGGTCTTATATACTTTTTGTAACTGCTGTTAACAGATGGAGAAGATGAAGAGGAAGTGCAGTGTATATATGTGTGGGGGTCTTATATACTTTTTGTAACTGCTGTTAACAGAGTTAGATGTGCATTGTGGTCCACAAACCATATGGGGGTTGTGTGGTTATTTTCAAATGACAAGGGGGTCATCAACACTGGACCAAACCACAAGGGAGTAAACAGAAATTTGACCTATTTTATATAACACAGCCCTCTTGTGCTTGTGTGTGCGTGTGCACGCGTGTCCCAAGACTGATTAAACAATGTGATTTTGAATTTACACACATGACCCCTCCACCACACAGCTTGATTACTTAACAATGTAGTTTTGTTATGTTTTCTTCTCTCTCTGATTGGCTTTTATCTAGAAGCTTTTAAATCTTTGAAGTATCTCTTATGATCAAATTGCAAATATCCTCCCTTTTATAATATGATCTACATAGTCTTTTCTATCCTTTTCAATCTGTCTTCTCTGTGAGAGTTTGATAGTACATTGTTGGTTCATTACCCTAATAACTTAAGTTATTGGGGCAATTGGTTGTCTGACACAGTTTTAGAGCTTTGGTTTTTGGAAGTCACGAGTTCAAGTATTGTCATATTTTATTCTCCCATTATGTTTGTTAATCTGCCCCTTTTGTGTGCATTTGTGCACACCATATTCAGCTTAGTTTGTTGGTGTAGTATATTTCTCTGCATCTCATCGAGGAGGATGTGAGATATTGATATAAATTGTTGGGCACTTCCTATTAGCTTGGTTGTCTAACATACTTCATTTGGAAACATCAGTTTGATTGCTTCCTTGAGTGCTATTTTTATCCTGCAAATCTCTCCGAGTGGAAGTTCTTGGAGGCCCGCTTGTCACTGAGAAATCTCCTTTGTTAACGCGCTAGTTGATATACTTCAACAAGATTGTGATGCAGTTAGAATTAGTACGGTTTTTATGTTTTAGTACTATCAGAGTTGTGTCTTTTATTCTATAAATTGGTGGTTAGGCCCCGCTAGTATTCAGCTTAGGATATGTTGATATTAGCTTGAGAGCTCTTGTATCCCAATTTGGGAGTTATCTAATGAAATCTCTTTTTTGATTTGGCCCCATCAGATTGTGTCACCTATTATGTTTTTCTTCGTTATTTTACAATACCAATTAGCAACATCAATCTACTTCTTCATCCAAATATTTAACTGCTCTTTGAGTCCTCCAATTAGGTCGGATCTGATTTCAGTGACAATATTTTGACGCAGCCATTACCCAGTCCAAGTCAAAGAGCCTTTCTTCCACAGTTCTAAGAGAGAGAAAACCTAGTCATGAGTAAATCAATTGATGTTTCATTGTGGATGCTGAGCCAGTTATCTGGGTGGGTCGATTACATTGTCAACCTCAGCTGACTTGGTCACTGTAGTGATAGAATAGGTAGGCAGCAGTAGGCTAGAGGCTAAAGAGCATGGACTCTTCTAAGGAGGTGGTGTGTCGTGTCGTGTTGGACTCCAGGTTGGATACTGACATGACATGACAAGACACTTGTTGGACAACTCCCAACACTAGTCGGACAAACGTCCAAACATGTCCTATTTATAAAAAAAATTCTAGACTAGAACACGCTTCAAACATTTGGAAAACATGTGTGTATTACATTGACACACATGAAACACATTATAAGCTTGAATAAAATAGCTTATAATCAAATGATAAATGAAAAACAAAGTAAATTTATTGCTATTCTTCTCGTTTAGATATATATATTTTTTGGAATTATTTATATTTATATGTGCCATATAGTACATATATGAAAATATATATTTTGTGTGTATCCCCCACATATCTTGTTCTACATTTTTGAAAATTTTGGTGTCGGCATGCCCATGCCTGTGCTTCTTAGGCTAGAGATAACGGAGCTATCTCTGGGCTTGTTGCAACTAAGAAATGACCTTTGCTACATACATTCCTATACAATTATTTGAAATCAAAGGAATTTGGTGTATGTAATCCCCGTACTACTTATTCGTAGGGTTCCAGATTTCATGGAATAGTTTGAAACACATGAATGAAATGGTAATTGCTGTAGAAATTGATGTATATTATTGATTGACGGCATGCCCATGCCTGTGCTTCTTAGGCTAGAGATAACGGAGCTATCTCTGGGCTTGTTGCAACTAAGAAATGACCTTTGCTACATACATTCCTATACAATTATTTGAAATCAAAGGAATTTGGTGTATGTAATCCCCGTACTACTTATTCATAGGGTTCCAGATTTCATGGAATAGTTTGAAACACATGAATGAAATGGTAATTGCCATATATGACAACCTCAAAAACAATGTAGGCACTTCTTTTTTTTCCTTTTATGGGTCTAGGAAATATTGATGATTGGTTGTGGAGTCAACTGTTGGCATTTTCTATGCAAGATGTTGAATTTTTTCCCAGTTTGCTTTATCATTTTTATCCCAATGAATAACTTGATACATAATTATAATCAAATAATTATTTCATTTATCCTGTTACAAAATTGAACCATGTTAATATTCTCTTGATTATTATTATTTATTTGTTTATTTATTTTCCATCTCAAACAGTTTCAGGCGTATTAAGACCCCTGTCAAAGGACATTCGTGCAAACATCTTCAGGTGAGTGCTCTGTGCTATCAACCAACATAGAAAATTGTGATTTGTTTCACAGATACTAGGATCTTTGAGTTTATAGCTTATGCTATGCCCTGCACAGAAGTACGTTAGAATTAAAAGTGCTCTGATATGGTACAAATAAGCATGTTCATTCTGAATTGTCTGTTCGATTAGTTGCTGAGTCCCATCTGTGCTCAGGGAAGTGGCCATTAAGGGTTGTGCCTCTGTTGTCACATTAATGCAATATTGTGAACCCTTGGATCTGCAGTTGGTATGATTTGTTGCCCAATAATTTCTCTGAGGTTCATCTTATATGATGATTGGCCATGTCTCTGTGTGCATTATTACTTTGCTGCCTTGCTGCCAGTAGCACTATATCCTTGCTGTCAGATAATTATTTCGGTTTAATTTTCATTTCCTAAAAAATGGGGAGGAATAGTAACATATGCAGAGTTTTCTGTATGACATGCATTAATTTTTCAATTTTCAGTAATTTGATTTAATATTAGCCTGCTCAAAGTCGGGAAAAAATCCCTTAAAAATCTATGCATTTTTCTTGAAAGAACCCAAAAGCAGTGCTGCTTTTCCTGCCCTCTAGATACCTACATATATATATATATATTTATTTTCTTTCTGCACAGCTAATGCTCTTCTCATTTTAAATTGCTCTCCCTTCTAATTCTTTAGTTTCAATTTCAATCTTTTGGTTTTAGTGTTTTGATTTTGACAACTTTGTGGACATAAACTCAAGAAGGCCATCATGGCGCTGCCCGCATTGTAACCAGTGTGTCTGCTACGTTGACATCCGTGTCGATCAAAATATGGTTAAGGCAAGTCGCTTTCTGTTTGCTTTTTTGCATGGATTATTTTACTTATTTGCTTTGTTAAAACCTATTGCTACTTATTACAGGTCTTGAAAGAGGTTGGTGAAAATGTTGCTGATGTGATTATCTCAGCAGATGGATCATGGAAGGCTGTTGAGGAAAGCAATGACAATAAAGACCAGCCACATGATAAGATGCCCAATTGCCAGCAAGATGGTGGTCTAGCAGAAACTATAGCTCCCTCAAATGCTCCTCCAGATATCTTGGACCTCACTGAGGGGTATGATGAGATGGATGTGGAGCGTACATGTGTAACTCAAGACAAAAAACCTGTTCTTGGTAATCTCCAAAGCCAATCTATTCCCCAAAGTATGACCAATACAAGCGACCAAAATGCTGCTCACATAGAGGATGACTTTTGGTCAGGCATTTTCTTGCCCACATATGGAACTGGGACATCAAGTGGTGGATCAGATGCCCAAATGGTTGGTGGTTTTTCTGTATCTTCTCCCTCCAATTATATGCTGTCTCCTGTGTTAACTGATGCTGTTTCTCCTGCTCTTAATCGAGAACCTGAGGCTTTTCATGGGTCTGCTCTTGTTGCAACCTCTGTACCACAAAGTCAAATTTCTGGTCCCAGTAATATGCAGTTACAACAATCACAATTTGGGAATTCTATTGTCAGCAATGAATATGGGAGGGCCCCATCTATACCAAGACATATAAACAGAACACCAATTGCAGTCCAGGCCCTTCCAGCTCAGACTTTGACATCAGGTCCGCAACAAAGATCAAGAAATAGTTTTAACAACTTAATTCCCCAAGGGCCTTCCCTTGCTTCTCAGACTTCTGTCCTGCCATCTATTTCAGATGGCTTCAATACAGTCTCCAGTACATTGGAAAGGCAACAGCAATTTTCTAGATCACATTTGAATCCACTTCATGTATCTCAGATAACCTCCTCTTCATTGCAGCAGCAGCAATCAACAGCACAGGTTAGGTTCACTTTCATTGTCACCTAAACTCCGTCTTTGAGTGAGTTTGACATTAGCTTTTCTAGTGGCTTTTTGAGAAGCTAAAAGACTAATGCTTTTGAGAAGTTGCTAAAAAAAGTGTTTTTTTTTTTTTTTTTTTTTTCAAGGTGAGTGAAAAAGTTGAGTTGTTTTTTGACTTTTTTTGCCAAGGGTTTGTCATTGGAAAATCCCAGGAGGGATAAAAAAGGATATTGGGATTCATATTTGTCCAATTATATTGTGCTTGGACTTGGTTGTCTATACTAAACGGTTTCTTGTTCTGCATACTTTGGTAGGCTTTTAATGATGTCATTTCTTGTTACCCAAAATTTTCATTGCAGAACTGGGATCATCAAAATCGTTCATTCATTTCAAGTCAACCCGCTCAACAGATAGTTGGCCTTGCAGCTCCAAGTCAACTCGCCAGTGCACGCCAGCAACAACCTTTGAACCTTAGGGTCCCCCAGCACATGAGTCAATCTCCAAGCCTGATTCGGTCCCCTGCTCAGACATCTTCTCATTTTGTTCGGAATCAAAGTGGGGTTGGTCAGACATCACTACCTGGAAGTAGCCAACGGCTTATGGCTTCTGCTCTGCGAGCAGCCCAGGTGGCAAGACAGCCACCATCGGTGCCAGTTCACATTCCAACAACCAGAGCATCGTCATCATTCCCTACAAATGCTGATGGGTTTAGAGCATCGGTTGGAGATCAGAGAGGAAATACAGGAGCAACGTTGCAACAACCAGCCACAAGGACTGATGGTTTGGCAGATTTGCCTTCGGAGCAGAACTGGCGGCCCACAGGCCGAATGCGTGGAAGTCTGTCGGGGCGAGCTTATTCTGATGCTCTTAACCAGTTCATTATTCAGCCAACCCAACCCGTTCAAGCTGCTATTAGGCCACCACTGAGTATGACCTCGCCCCCACCTGGCATGCCAACCCCACTGCAATGCTCATGCAAAATAGGAGGAATGCCTATGCTCCTCCTCAAGTGGTGAATCATCCAACAGATCAACCCAGTATGGCGGGAAGCTCAGGTGTTGTACCTGAGCAGTCTTCGGGGATGCACTAATGTAAACAGGAAGGGACGTGGATGGGGCTGTATATGGTATGGTGTGACCAATTTTGTACTCCATGGTCAGCCGTAAAGTTCATGTAGATTGTTTTCATAGGGCAGTTAGTGATTATAGTTTTAAGTTTATCGCATAATTGGTTTTATGGGGATTGTTCTTTGGGGATTTGAATTGCTATGGGGGTTTTTTTTTTTGGGGGATTTGAATTGCTATGGGGTTTTGTTTTTTTTTTTTTTTTTTTGGATTTGAATTGCTATAATTAATACCTTGGATCTTATAATGACCTGTTAATATATGGATATAGACAACCTTGCTTTTGGATTTTGGATTGTATATTTTGATGACATGTGAGTTTTTGGTTTTCGGGTTGTGTATTTGTAATGCTTCTGTGCTGAATGCAATTGTGCATGCAGCAGCTAGGATGTAGAGAGTCGTCTTCTGCTTAGAAGACTTGCACGTAAGCACAATCCAGATGTGCCCATTGAATCCAGAAAACGTTTTCATATTTTAAAAATAGAAAACATTTTTTGCTCAAATAAGTTTGTTTTCCCTAAACTATAAAAAAATATTTTCTATTGATTTTTATTTTGTACCAAATATCCAAAAATAAAATAAAATAAAATAAATACGGAAAACGTAGTGGGTTGAGGTCATTAGCATATTAAAGTTTCCTAAAATTCCAAGCTGATTGTATTATTGCACCAATAATACTGCAAAAGATAAGATAAAATGAACCATCATTCTCATGAAAATCCTAGTGATCTAATCATATCCTCTCTTTAATGTTTGAAAAATCAGTTCCTTGACATTCAATATATAATCTGAGCTCAGTCTAAGAGCATCTTCAAAGGGATAATTAAATAAGGTTTATTAGACATTTTAGTCAATGTAAGTCTAATTTTGAACCCCAATGGGCTAGTTACTTTATCATTCTATTTTTTTGGTGGCTACAATTAAAGAACCCCAGATGCTCTCCAAACAATTATGTATGTATATATTTTAGATTTTTGTATATTTATGTCTTGGATTTAGGATTTTATATATTTTATATATGTGTGTGTGTATGTAGCAATTTTATATATTCTTTCAATTCTGTTTGATGAATTACGGAATAACTTATTTTGTATTTGGTATTTTTTTTCTCCTCATTCTACAGGTTTTGTATGTTTGTATGGGCAAATTTATTATTATTGCAAATTTATATTAGTAAAACATTAACAATTAGTATTTTTTTATTTTAAAAATTAATTAAGTTAGTTTAAATGATTAGCTAAAATAAAGAGTGTGATTGGAGAACACAATAGTTAAAGTAATATGGTAAAATAAAGAATGTACTTTTTTTATATTTTAGCTAGTGAAAAGTAGAGAGTGTGGTTGGAGTTGCTAATCAACAATTAATAATTATAATTATTCATACATTAAAAGGCACGGTGTATACACTATCAAGATAACAATACAAAACAAACAGTTTTCAGGTCATGTAAATGATAGTATTGATTTAACAGTGATACGGTTAAATATTGGACAGTATCTGTAGATATATCAATAAATAACCGTATCAAATGTCCGAAAATACTAAATAACAACTGGTGAAACTATCTCTCATTTTTTGGGTGAGTAAAAACTCTGTCATTCAGTCAGCAATGCTAGGAAGGGTCATGGGATGGGACACTACTCTCACAAATTACCATTGTAGGCTTCTTGTAGACCAAAGGTCAGTCTATCCGGTTCATCAAAGCCCATGAGAAAGTCATCATTCAATATCATATCATATATGTCAAGTCCGTTGTGCTCATCTTCTTCTTCTTCTTCTTCTTCTTCTTCTCTGTTCTCTTTCTTGAGGATCCTTTGTCGTGACAACTCTTCTTCCATGGTTGCCAATGCCAATGAAGGGCTCGGTGGAGATGGCGTGTTGTGATTGGCAGCAGCGGTGGTTGAGGAGATTTTAGGGGTAGAGGTAGAGAACTTGTGGCGGGTAGTGCCTGCAAGGGAATTCCTGCGAGTTGGGTGGTCGTGGCAGTGCTCAGCAGTGTAGGTTATTACAAACATTTCTGGATCCGAGAGGCTCTGTTCGACGTGCTTCCTTGCTAGACATCCCTTTGAGCTGCTGCATCTGTAATAGCTCCTGCTCTTTCACCAACCATTTATGAGTGACTGAACCAACATACATATCATTGGATTTTTTTATCATTGAAACTCGTGACAATCCGCATTCAGGAATTGGATCCTCTGTCTCAAATTCTTTTGTCTTAGTGTCAAAGGACACTAATCAATTATTGAATCATGTTTGAGATTCTCACATCTTTAAATTGTTTCAATGATTGAGAATGTGTATTGAGACAAAAGATGAAAAAAAATAAAAATCAGAAGACAGAAGAACTTTAGCATCGCATTCATTATTTTCTTAATAATTATATTTTAAAAAAATGATATGTAACATTATATGTGTGTGTGTGTGTGTGAGAGAGAGAGAGAGAGAGATGAACCTTGGATAGGGAGATCCCTTGATGGGTTTCTGACCATATTTACGCCAAGCCCACGTATCAGAGGAAACACCTTCTGTAACTTGGAGTACCACTCTTTTGTGCTGATTCTTCCTGATAACAAACAAGTAAAAATTGTCACTAAAAGTATAAATTTTAGCGAACTTATATAGTTAGTACTGCAAATACTTCAAAAAACAGGAAGCCCTTTGAACCAGCTAACCTCCTTTTATATTTAACCTCGTGATGAGCAGTGGTAGCAGCGGCAACAACACGAGGAGACCGAGTGAAAGCCTCCTTTTCTTGCTCTGTCTCTCCTTTGGAAAAAGAAACGGATGAGGATGATGATGAGAGGATGGTTTGTTGGGCCAGGGGATTGAACATGGGGTAGAAAAGTTGATCTAATTCATCTAAAACTGTTGGTGTTTCAAACAAATCAGGAAAAGTATTCAAAAGAAAGTCATGATCTTGTTGTATAGTCATAGGAGCCAAGTATGTTTGTGGATTATTGTTCATGAAGGTAGAAGTAGAAAAGGCATTGGTGCAACTTCTAGATACAGCTTGCGAATCCCAGTCAGCGATCCCGGTGAAGTACTCACTCATTGAGAAATGATTGTCAAGCAGAGGATTAGAGATTTGGACAGGAAGAGAAGACATGGAAAAAGAGCTTTGTGATCAATTAACTGCAAGGCAAGCTCGTTTATATATTAGAGAGAGAGAGAGAGAGAACAGATGGGTTGAGAGATCCTCTAGCTAGCAGCCTCCCTGAGTAGAACCAGATTTGCATTTTCCATTGGATTGAGTTGACTAGTGTGAAAATGTCAAAAGGGGACAAAATGGGAAAAGCCAACACGTTACACGCATTCAATAAACTATGGATTGAATGAACTCGCTTCTCATTTGTTGACAAAAGGCTTTTTTTTTTTTTTTTTTTTTTTTTTTTTTTAACACAAATTTTTTTTTTTTTTTTTGAACCAGACAATAGGCTTTTTTGAACCAAGAAAAAAGAACAGAGTTTTGGTTGAGTCGGTGTGTCCTTGTAGCAAAATTCATTGGCAATTTGGATCCAACAATAAATACCCGATTCCAATTTATAAAAAAATGTTACTGTCTCTAAATTTACACATTGAATTTTAAATACTGTTTGATGCGTAATCAATATATTCAGTTAAAAGTAGTGTTAAATTAAATTGGATTTATCATCTCATAATTATAAATGTTGAATAGGTCTCCCAACCATTGAGTGGTTGGTTTAGTGAATAAGTATTCAGATTTTCTCATTTAATGTTTGGTTTTGAGTTATTATAGATGTTTGTTGGGGTTAAACTTACCCTTCAACACTCAAAGCTTGTGATGGGACCATAACTTCGTCCGCAACATAGGTGTTGCGAGGTGTATTACACATTGCTGTGTGGGATTAAGAGACAATACTCTCTGGCCATGTTTGTTTGGGAGGACATGAGCTTGAGATTGGACTAATAATCTAATAAAATTATTAATCCAATGTTTGGTTAAACAATTGAAGTACGGACTAATTATTTTAAACTTGACTATTAGTTAAGATAGGATACATAATCCAACGGATTCGTAATCCTAGAACTATTAGTCATGGGAATGCTAATCCAGTCCGCCCAAACAAACATAGCCTCTAAGTAAGTAGGTGAAGTAATCTATCTGCATATTTTATTATTTTATCAATAAATAAATAAATAATATGTCTCCCCACTCATACCATTCATGTCTGTTATCAATATATTGATAACACATCATATGATTACTAAAATTGATATATAAACATGACCATTGTAAAAATTATTTGAATGAATTACTATATTTCACATTTCACGTCTGTTTTATATATCACTGGCACTGCATTGATGATGTATGAGATTATGGTTTCAAACTTGCCTGTATACTAACCTTTGGTATTCCTCCTGTTTCGTTTTTTGGTGCTATATGTGGTTACATTTTATTTTATGTTTTAAAATTAAAATATAAATTTGTTAACGTGATTGTTTTTGACAACCATGCTTGCAAGTTGCACATGTGGGGTTAGCCCCATTTCCAGTGATTTTACAGTTTGAAAATAGAAACATAGCAATACCCATGAAAATGCTGGAAATCACGACCATTGAAAAATGAAGAAGAAGAACATGGCATCTTGTGAACAAATATATAGGGAACTAGGCCTAGCTACTACCTAGCTACATAGGGAATGGACTTTTGGAAGGAGCAAGGATCCCTCCTTCTCTCCAACTTAATTTCTTACGTCATCGGCCATTGGGCCGACTTTTAGGTCTAATTTTAATGATTCGAATAGTTCATATTTTAAAATTTATCATGTATATCATATCTATAAAAAATTAAATTAATCGGATATAAAAAATCACGTAAACTAAATTTTTTATTAAACAATAAAACTGTTTATTAAATATCATCACCATATACATATATAAGTATATATAGATTAGGGATTGGCCTGTGTAATTTAAATAAATAAAAATAAAATAAAATATTAATTATATATTATATATTACTTAAGTATTAAAAACGTTTTTAATTGATTCTAGGATCTTATGTTGAAATTTCACTCTCTTCTTTATTTAATTAATTTTTTATTTTTGAATAGAGAAATTAACATTTCACATAAAGAGAGAGAGAGGAAAAGGGTTCAAGATATTAAAAAATCTATTCACTTTATATAATATAATATAGTACAGATATGGTCACTACCATACCCTAATTATGTATACTTTTCTTTTAATTTGTTTGGTGCACCTTTTTATTAATTAAAAATTAATAATTAGATGGTAAAAACTAATATATATATATATATATATTTTTTAACTTTGTTAATACTATTTTTACTTAATAGATTGTAAGTTATACCAAACAATTTAAGACTAAAAAGAAAAAAAAAATTAAATCACTATAAACATCTCATATAAGTTATACCAAACAAATTATTATTTTTTTAATCTCCATTAAACCATTACCTTCGTGCTCTTGCCCCATTACACTATTCAACTGGCTAGAAAAGAAAAGTGGTGTTTCAGTTATGATTTATGTGATTTTGGTTATGGGAGAAAATAATATTTGAATGACATAAAAGTAAAAATAGGATAGATTGTGAATACACTTTTTAAGATTTTCCTAAATTATAGATTGATCTCTATAGTTTAGAAAATTACAAATATTTTCTTATTAAAATTTTTTATTTAACAGAATTAACTAAAAAAGTAAAATTTATAATTGTTCTCCTCTATGTGAATAAAATTATCTAAATTATTAATTGAAACATATTTTTAATATTATTAAAAACTGTTAATTGACTTGATGATATAGCGATTTGTTATGAAATTAGAAATCTCAAGGAGTGAAATGTAATTTCTAGAATCACATGAGGTAATTTGTATTTTAATCAAACCTCACAAAGTGTATTTGTAATTTATCCGTAAAAATAATTGTGGAACTAATAGTACAATGTAACAGATAAAAAATTTACAAATAAGTGAAAAACTTTATACACTTTAATAATTAAAATGTTATATTTTTTTATTATTTTATAATTTTTTTTTATTATCATAACTGTACTGTTATTCTCCCAAAATAATTTTGGTTACATTTTTCGTCTTTTCCGTATTTGGGGGCTGTTTTCCGGATTCCGGTACTGGTGGTGGTTGCTAAGGGCAACTCTTAGGCCTTGTCTGAGAAGAGATTATTTTAGTAATTTTTTAATTTTTTGGTTAAAATATAAAATAAAAAAATTAGTATGTTTGGAATATTTTTTAACTTTTTATGAAAAGATGTGCAAAAAGTAGAAAGAAAATAGAATATTTGACTTTTTTGTATAAGTTATAGACTTTTTGAATTATTTAGTAACTTTTTGACTTTTAAACTAAAATAGTTACTTGTCAAACAAGGCTTTTTGGTTTGACGCTGCTCTCGTTATCTTCTTTTTAATTTTTTTTTTATTTTACAATATTGCAGTTAGTGTGTTAAAGGTGGACACACAAACAATTGGATTTTTTTTTAGATGGTCACAAACAATCGGATTTGAAATAATTAGATGCAATTTAAAGTGTTACATTTTTTTTTTTTTTGAAGTAGGAGTGATCATGAATTAGTCTAATTCGCTCAATATAACCGATTCAATCTAAATTGATTGATTTTGGATGGATGCATGTTTTTTGGTGGACAAATACAGATAAAATATTTCAAAATCTACTAATACGATTCAGATGGTGAATCACTTTTCTCATACTCTCATAAATATGATTCGCTCGTAGATGAAATACAAAACAAAAATAAAAAAAGAATTGATAACAAGTGATAATATAGAGTAGGAATAATAAAATATATATTTTTATGAAAATAGAAAATAATACTTTAAAAATATGCATGTGGTGCCACGGCCTATTATAGAGAAATAATACATATTGTTTCAAATTGTTGGTTATTGGAGATTGTAAAAGTAATGAATTATAATTCGAAAAAAAATTCAAAATTTGTAATGTTTAAACTGTGAAACCAATCGCATCCATCTGTTAATTTGCACGTCCTGTTTAATCCACATCTACCAAATCGGTGGATGGATGCGGATTATTTTTTTCAATCTATCTAATTTTAGACAAATGGCAGATGGAATACCACCCGACCCTACCCTATCCACGATCACCTCTATTTGGAAATATCTTTTTATCATTTCGACTGGTTTGAAATGATTTAAATAAATACACTTTTTGACTTTTTATGAAATGATGTGCAAAAAAATAGAGAGATAATTTAACCTAAAAAAGATAAAAAGTATACTGATATACCACATTACAAAGATCTTTCTTATGACTCATAATAACATAATAGGTTATATATCAAGTTTTGTTTATCACAATGCCCTTATTATGGGCTCATTTGGTAAGTTTATTAAAAGCCAGATTTTATTTTTTAACTCATTTTTTATTGCATCACCTCTTATATTTCTTACACACAAAAATAAAATCAAAAATTTAATTTTTAACTAACTTTTCAAAACACCCCTTTGTCATTTTAGACGAATTTAGAGCATCTTCAACGGTGTATTTCTTTTTTCATCAAATCTGAGTAAAAAATGATCCATTTTACCAAATCTAATATCACTCGCTCCAACGGTGAACTTTCATCAAATTTGCGCCGGGACAACCGGTTGGTCGACCGGTTAGGCGGAATTTTTTTTTTTTTTTTTTTTTTCTTAGGGCTAGTTTACTTGTGGAAGTGTGGTGGCTTCAACACTAAATGCAAAAGTCTTCTTTGGAAGATCATTGTGGGTCTTTTCTTGGTATAGTTGCTTCTCTCTCTTTGATGGTGTTAATTTGATTGTTGAGAAATAAATAAAGATTATTAAGTTCATGAATTTTTTGATGAAATCAGTATTCTGTCCTCAGTTTGATGAATTGTTTGGTGAAATCTCATTTTGATATCGATTTGGTGCAACCGTTGGAGCACCAAACAGTAACTTTTTCACCAAATTTTAAATTTGATGTCAACTTTGATGAACCGTTGGAGATGGTCTTAGCAGGGATATCAATTTTGCTCTGCCTCGCTACCTCATTCATCGCCTCGGTTCGTGTGCCCTACCCCCAACAAGAAAATGGTATCTACTTTTCTCGTTCCGTTTTTCTCATCCATATCCCGATTATATTAAAGAACTTTTATATATATAGAAAAATTCTATAATACATGCCTCGAAAAATATGTGTATCATACATCTACAGTTATGACTTTTGTAGT